GAATTAAGATTCCACGTGCGCATACGTGTCCGTATACCCACGTACTTGGAAATAGAATAGAGCAAAGACGCAACCCCACTCCAGCACCCCACCACCCCTCCCCCCCCACCCACTCCCCACCACCCGAGCCATCAAACAAAAACACTCCGCCACATCCCATCCCCATCTTGGCTCGCGGGACAACTGGTTGGATTGGACTGTCCACCCACCCGCCCACATGCCCACCCGTCCACCCTCCACCCCGCCCGCGCTCCCCCTCCACCCCACCTTCCACCCTCCCTCCCCCCCCGCCTCCCCCACCCGCCCACCCGCCCACCCGCCACCTCCACCCCGTCCACCCCCACCCTCCACCCCACCTCCCCCTCCACCCCGCCCACGTTCAACGGGATGAGAGAATGTTTACCTCATTTCCCCACCAACATTCGCTCGGCTTGAGGGAGCATCTATTTAACCAATCTGCTCCACGAATGCTGAAGGCTGATCGATTGGGCAAACCTCTGCACTGGTTACACAAATGGTTACTTCGCTACACACACACACACACGCACGCGTTGTTTGTGCGTGCGGGCGGGAGACGCGGGGGGGGGGGGGTTCCGGAAGCCATTAATTATTGTGGTTCTCTACGCAATTACATTTTCTGTTCTGTGGTTCTCTGGCAATTACATTTTTTGTTCTGTGGTTCTCTTGGCAATTACATTTTGTGTTCTGTGGTTCTTTGGCAATTACATTTTTGTTTCTGTGGTTCTCTTGGCAATTACATTTTCTGTTCTGTGGTTCTGCAAGCGATTAGATTCTCTATTCTGTGGCTTCTACTGAAAATTCTATTCTGTGGTTCTGTAAAATTAAAGTTCTCCATTCTGTGTTTCTAGAGACTATTCAATCCTCTATTCTGTGGTTCTGGCAACAATTATTTTTCTTTATTCTGTGGTTCTGCAAACAATTAAATTCTCTATTCTGTGGTTCTGCAAGCAATTCAATCATCCATTCAGTGCACGTGAAAGCAATTGAATTCTCTATTATGTGGTTCTGTAAGTAATTAAATTCTCTATTCTGTGGCTTTGTAAACAATCAGATTCTCTATTCTGTATTTCTGTAAGCAATACAATTCTCTATTCTATGGCTCTATAAGCAATCAAATTCTCTATTCTGTGAAAAAATCTGCGTGTTTACCGAACCTCACGTACGGAACGAAATGGCTAATCACAAAACGAAAAGCAATTTCAAAAAAGAAAACCCGATAAATATTTTTTTAAACATGAAGAAAACACACAAAAAATAATAAATTGTAAAATATAAAAAAAATACGTGAAAAAACACACAAAATATTATAAATATTTAAAAAAACGGAAAAACACACACACAAAAGACAACACATCACAGCGCCCCAATCCCCCTAGCGTCAAAACATAATAACAAAAAAAATTCACCAAAGGCGGGAAAATTGAACGGGAATTTCCAGGTAATTTTTTCGCGAAATTATTCCTTCATAAGGTTCGGATGAATCATCATTTACATATATATTAAAGATACACGAAAGATTGTCCCTGCTGCTCCTGATGGACGCCCCACGCGGGGAAAGGGAGAGGGAGAGGAGAGGAGAGGAGAGGAGAGGGAGAGGGAGAGGGAGAGGGAGAGGGAGAGAGAGGAGAGGGAGAGGAGAGGGAGAGGGAGAGAGGAGAGGGAGAGGGAGAAGGGAGTGGGAGGGGTAGGGAATGGGAGAGGAGAATGGAGGGGGATGGGGAAGGGGGAGAGGGGAGGAAGAGGGGAAGGGGAAGGGAGAGGAGAGGGTGAGTGGGAGGGTGATGGAAGGGGGAGAGGGAGAGGGAAAGGGAGAGGGAGAAAGAGAGAGAGAGACTACGAGAGAATGAGAGAGAACGAGAGAACGAGAAGAGAGAAAAAGAAACAAAAAAACAAAAGCGAGAACGTGAGAAAGACAGACCGAGAAAGAGAGAGAGAGAAAAACACAACAAAGAAAAGAAAAAAAGAAAAAAGAAAGAAAGAAAGAGAGAACGCTGATCCTAATCAAGAACCCAGAAACATTCCCTCCAGATTGCGGTGACCATAAAAAGAGGGAGACAACGAGAAAGAAAAAAAAAAAAAGAAAAAAAATAGAAACTCGTAAAGCCGTCTACCACCCCACCCCACCCACCCTATTTCCCCTCCCCCTGCTAGCCCCCTCCCCCCCTTTTTTCCCCTCACCCTCTGCCAGCCCAACCCTCCCCCTAGCCCCCCCTAGTGTCCAGTCCCCCATTTTCCTTCCCTTCCCTGACCCACCCCCTTCCTTTCCCTTCCCCGCTCTTGTTCTACCCTTCCCTCCCCCCTTCTCTCCCTCCACCTCCACCCCCTCACCCCCCTCACACACACCCTCCCTCCCCTTTCCCTACCCCTCCCCATCCTCCCCTTCTCCCATCCCCGCCCCTCCGCCCTCCACCCCCCTCCCCCGCCCCTCAGACCCTCCCTCCCTATCCCCCTCACACACACCCTCCCTCCATCCCTCCCC